ATATATATATATATATTATTGATTTCTGAATTTCTGTTTTAATTATACAACATAAAAGTTAGCCAAGGGAGAAACTTCTACAAACCTCTGCATTCATTTGTCTGTAACACGATATTCCATAGACTGTTTGTCGTGGATTGTCCAAAGATGGGAGGTGAAAATAAATGGTTTCTAATAGATTGGAGGGAAAAAAAATGTAATGTCATGGAAACAGATTTGCTCTATAAATATCTAAACATATTTAAAAAACAAACTATAAACATAGTAAAGTGTAATCTACAGGAGAAAAGTAATAGCAACTTCCAAAGCAACTGACTTTATAGTTACTACATTTCACAACTAATGTCTTATATTTAAATAATTTTTAAGGATCATCAAATATATACTTTTATAATAGATATTAAAAACATGGTAATATTAAAAAACAGCTATGTATATATACCTTTTAGAGCAAGGAATATCTTAAATATTTATTTAGCCCAAGTAATGAAGTTACTTGAAGTGTTTAAAAATCAACCCCTACCTTTCTCACAGTTGTGTGCTCCATCAGGCAGAGCAAGAGAAGGGAGGTGTTTCCAACACACAGGTAGTTCACTACTGTCATAAGGCTGACCTTTTATTAATGGAGGATAAGAGTAATCCACCTGAGAGAGAAAATAATTAAACACGCTTGAATAAAACCTACCACATGATCATCTGCGTGTACATATATTAATATAAACCATAAATGTTAAAACTATTAAACATATTATTTAAAGCACAATGACTATGTAGATGTAATATTTTTGTAGTAAATAGTTGGATATAAGCTATTGCAGGTTTTGGTGAAAAAAAATTTAAAGTAATCAATCTAGTCTACAAGGACAATAGTTTTCCAGTATCTTTTTCAACAGTCCAGTTGCACAGAAATCCATAAGTGCAATATCCATTGACCTGACAAGAATATCTTTGTATAGAATAGCATGAATACCTATTTCATTCTATAGCTGCTTGAGGTATGTGATGGTTAAATAGATATGTTATGGCAGAAACTTATGCACATGTGAATTGTCTCTTTTTCCAGAAGGAGATCCTTCTTCATTATGTTGCATACTTTTGCCTGGGACACCTGGAAGGCTTTTGCCACAGACCTTTGTTTTTGTTTTATTCTTACCTCTCAGAAGATATCACATTTTGCTTACATTGGCTAGGGTGCAACTTGTTACAGGTCTCTTCCTGGATGTTCCTGTTGTCCCCATTTTTTCCATATTCTTTTGTTTTCCAATGAGATTGAATATAAGTGATATCCCCATGTCGGAAATTTAAAAACTGCAATTGGAATACATTTTTATGATCACAGTGTATGAATATTTTGCATGGAAAGTGCTGTTACGTTACCTTCCCAAAATCAATCTATTTTTGTGAGCATCAAACAACCTATAAAATGTCAAACAATGTCAAAATGTAGTTCTGACTCATGCCATTCCACCACCACATTATATCAGCTGTGGTTACATTTGACTTCTTCACATATTCAATATTGTTTTAATACAATGCACTCAACCCTTTGTAGTCTTGTTACTGTTTTGAAATATATGGAATAAATCAGCACTGCTGGAGGTGATAAGAAAATGAAAGACTTAATATTTAGAGTGTATAAATATTTTACGTAATTCTGGTTTCAACTGTAAAAAATTTATTAAACTAGAACTTTGTTTTATGAAAAAATGTGAAATATAATAACTAAAGCTTCATTTTTTAATAAAAAGGTAACTTCTTGGAACTATGCAAATTCATAGATAAAGGGATTGTCAAATGATGAAATGGAATGTTTCATAGCTGTCCAATAAGTTAGTTATTTTTGTAAATATTTTTATATATCTGTTTACCACTTTCAACTTACAATAACATCTCCAATAGTGATGTGCAATTCAAACAATTGACAAAACTCCTCTATTGAAAGTAAGGGACATTTCAAATTTCCATTCGCTCTGTTGTCATGCTCTCTTTGGCAACCTCCCCAAACAATGTCCACACCAGACTGAAAACCACCTGATAGTTACTGGAACTGCTGGCAATGATAAACCCGACACTGAGATACACAGAGAAATTTTGAACCTCATTGGAAGGAACTGGTTAAGGACAAGAGGTTGCAGGATGAGAAACAGTTATGGAAGAGGTTATGCTATCAGAATGAGTCAAATGAGTAACCAAAAATAAAGGGTCCACAAGTGATTCCAAAGACTCCAAAAATAAAACGATAGAGAAAAAGAGCCATCCAGAAGTCACGAAGATAAGTGGAAGGTAGCTGAGCCTGTGAAAAGACAGCATCCTTCCCAATAAAATCCCAACAGCACGTGTGAAGGGATAGGACTGAAAAGGACAACAGTGCCAAGGAGGAGAGAAAGTGTATCCTCTGAAAACCCCTGAGGGGATTGGTGGAGTGCCTCAGAAAGGAAGTGGATGTTGGTGGGAAAATGGACGTGGGAAAAATGGATAGGATTATCAGGGACAGCTCCTCACATTATCCAAACTGACTCCAACTGCTGGAAGTTGAGATAGGGTTGACAAGCTTGCCGATAAACCAAAGCATAAGGAACAAAAGTAAATAGAGATCGAGGCATGCTGACACCAGCCCTCAACTTAAAAATGAAATGCTCAGCATGAGCCCTGATGTCATCAGGGGAAGGAGGGAAAGCAATGGACTCTAATGATGGGTATCATTAAAATAAAAAAGAAGAAACAGTTCACACAAAATTGTAAAAACAAGAAAATGTAACACACCTGAGGAAGCATATCCAAAAAGGCAGAGTTACTCCTAGTAGATTTCACAGAAGATGCAAGGGAAGGCATGGCATAATTAGGAGGAGGAAAAGGCTGTTAAAATCTTTCTCATCAGGAACAGATTCGGACAATGCAGGAGGAACCTGAATATTGTCGGAAGAAAAAGGATGCTTCCCATAGAGATCAATCTCCCAACAAATGATGTCTGAAAAATCCTCAGTCGAGACCCCAAGACCTGAAGCCAGTAATGGCACTCAAAGTAGTGGTTATAATATCATATGTTGTAGAATACAAACTTCTGAATTCATCTTAAACTGTGAAGATGCCGAAAATGAGAAAAAAATCAATAAACAAAGGCAAGTTACTGCGGCAAACTAATACAGAAAAAGTAACTGTAGCAAATGAACAAATCAAGTAAATCACTGCTTCCCCCAAAAAATTGCACACGTGAAAAAAGCACAATTGAAAAATGTCTTCACTCAATCACTGCCTAACGAGAGGTGATAGCTCGGTAGAATCGAAGAGGGAGTCGCATGCATCAGGAGGGTGTGTCACACTCCTATTAGTGTAAGGTTATCTCATGATGATTTACATGGGATACACAGTTGAACCACATTGATCGTGGGGTACGTAGGAGTTCTAGGCTTGTGACATGCTAAAAAATTGTACACATAGAGGGCCCCACTGTAGGAGAATAGCTATACATGTGAGAAGAGATAATGTATTGTTTCGGAAAGTTATTTTCATTTTTATTAGCAAATTGCACTAAATAAGTGTTACAAAATGAAAAAATATTAACCATAAAATATTTTGAATTAAGAATTGTTGAAAAATAGTTGAAGTTATTATTTTTACTTAAATCTCATATGCAGGTGTGCACTCAACATCTGAAAGTGCTAACTGGTTCTAACACGGTTGATCTATAAGAAAAAGAAATTTAAAGAAAAATAATGGAATGAGATATAATTTAACTCATAATCATAAAATGATAAAAAGTGAGAAATGAGAAAGAACAAAGCACACAAAAATAGCATGATTTAAAAATTATCAATGAAAGAGTAACCAAGCAGCTGTCAAAAGATAATGAATGTCCTATCACAAATGTAGGTACAAGTAAAATACACACATATAGCATCAAAGTTAAATTAACAGAAATTTAAGAATGGTTGACGTTGCAAGATGACATTGAAAGGATGTAGACGAGATTGGCTAATGAGAAATTCCATGACAGCCAGGAGGTTGAACTTAATACTGGAAATCTTTGAGTACACTCATGATCTCTACTTAAGAGTTCATACAGTTCCTTTTCATGTCTACTACATAATCTATTAGTTTATAATATTGTTGAAAAGAACAATAACTTCTTAATAATATTTCCTAAACTAAAAACTCTTGAATACTGTAAATTAATTTAACAGCATAAAGAATTATGATAGTAATAGAAAGATTTTTCCTTACAAACAGGCTACTTTTTTGAATATTATCAACTTTAAAAACAAAGAACATGAACACAATAAAACAATTTTTCAAAAGTGTTTATATTTACTTTTTCAAAAGATGAGTTACATTAGAAAAAACAGTGATCAATTATGAATCTAGTTGTAGATTTATACAGTTAGAGCATAACATAAGGACAACAAGGCCATTTGGTCTTTCAAGGCTATCTCTTCACACCCATCCCTACAAAATAACAAAAACATTTACTTTTCTCAGTAAATTGTGGATTTCCCTTCAAATTCTTATAAGTAGCCACCCTTCACAACTGTTGATGGTATCTAGCCCCATAAGTTAATCTCCCCATTACTAATACTATTAGAAAAATAAAACTGTCCTAACTGAATATTCATCTATCTCTTCCAAATCTTAAACATATGCTCTTTCAAAACCTATTGATCTCCTGCATAATTTTCAATAAGATCACCTCCTAACTTTCTTTCCTCAAGAAAAAATAGGTTAAGTGATTTTTAACTATCACTAAAAGATAATTCTTTGATTCCTGGAATCATACTCAAACACCTCTCTGAATATTCTTTAATAAAACATATTTTCTAAGATAAAGCAATCAAACCGTGAACAGTATTCTATGTGAGGCCTAACTAGTAATTTCTATAAAGAGACTATTACCTCTTTTGATTTAAAATCAAAATATCTATAAATACATTATAAAATTTCAATAACTATTACTATGCCAAGATCCTTTTCTTCAGTCACAAAATTATGATAACCCAAAAGCATTACCTTATACTTTCTATAATTAAAGGCCATTTACCAAATATTTGTCCTACTTATCATACAATCTGAATCATTCTAGTGTCTTATCATCCTCATTACAGCCAGAAATACCAAAGTTTAATGACTTCAACAAATTCTACTAGTTTAGTGATTGTGCCTCTATCAATGTCTTTAATGTAAATAACAGAAAAGTAAAAGTTCAAGCACTAGTAAAATAAGTAAAATGCACTAAACTTCAGAGCCTGATTAAAACCAGCATCAACATTCTGTCACTAAAGATAGTATATTGTGCTAGTCAAACTGTTAGTACTACCACTAGTAAACATAATGAAACATTATGCTAAATTTATTATGATGATCAGACACTACGCTTGCAAGGATATTCCTAGAAGGAAAAAGACTGTCAGTGTTCATTACATTCTAATGCAATTTACTACAATAATCAAGCATACAATTGTTACAAGTGTAAAGTAAAAGTAATGTAGGTTTTAACTTTGGGCTTTGAACCATTAAAGTAAATCAACATTCTTAACTATTCAGGAGTATTTCAGGCTTCAAATATCATAAATATTGAGTCTGTGTCCTAAATTATGAGTCTTTGACTCACAATCTCATCATTATTTGCCTATAGTAGTAGTAATACATTTGATTACATATATACTTCTTAGAAAAATAGATCAAATAAATCCTTATACTGAAAATTTTATATTAATTATATAACTTTAATATTAAAAGTAAGGCACCATATACCTCTAACTAATTTAAAATTTCAATGATTCTGAACTAACAAGAACAAATTAAAATGACACTTATGTTTGCTTCTTGCATATTCAGAGGTTTATTAGTTTGTCTTGCATTATTTCTACACAGTTAGCAATGACTTACTAACCTGACAACCCTTTTTGTGATGAAAGCCTACAACAACAACATGAAGAATAGGATTGTTTTTTAGACCAGACATTTTCAAGTAGACCTTCTGTCTTAGCCAACAGCATAAGCTTCAATAAACACCACAATAGTTATAACGCTTCTCTGAAAATAAATCATAAATATTAACAAACTAATTTATAATATTTTAGACTAATAATAGCTGGGCAAGAGATTTCACAAAAGAATGCAGAGCATTCATTTAAATTTCAATACCTCTTGTCATAAATTATTTTAAAAGTACACTGATTTGTAAATGGGCTAAACACTTTTATTTTTATAAGTACACATTAATTCTGCATTAGAACTCCAATTTTACTTTTGGGAGAGAATTACAAAAGAGAGACTTCAAAATCAATATCTATGTGTCATTAATTCAAATTCCTCTTGATGTCAACGAGCATTTCCAACAACAACAACAACAAAAAAAAGAAAAAAAAGAGACCAAATTCTGTCTTTAACAACAACTTATGAAGTGAAAACATAGACATTCAGTAGTCAAAATGCAGTGTTCTGGTTGACTAAAGAATCTATGCATGAATTAATCATTGGTTAGTCTCAACTTTCACTTCTGCATAAAAAATTTTATGATAATCATGTGGTATACTTACATTATGACCACAATTATGTGCCTGACTGACAATTTTCAGAGGAACAGATATTCTGGCAATTTATGAGTAAGTGTTTAACAGAAATATTAAAAAGATAATCAATAATGAAACAACAAAAACAAAAGTTGACTTTACTTCTAAAATTATGTAAAGAAATGCACGTGTATTTCACAGAAAATATTAAATATACAGTTTTGAGTGTTACTGTGTGTCACCATTACTCAACCTGGTGACATCATTGCTATGCATGCTATAATTTATATACAAGCTCATAAGAAAGAAATGACGACAAAAATCCAGTTGACCCATTGACATCTCCATAATGAATAAGTCTTTAAATAAGGCCTAAAATCCTATTAGCTTTACTACTAGTACTAATACTATCATCCAAAATACTTTTCTTCATTCATGCTATTGAGTGGGTTCCCATCTATACTAAATCATGAGTGATCTAAATTATAACCAAATGCATTACCTTGTGTTTTGTAGGAACATTCACTGTAATTAAAGGGTATTAGTCCAACTTACCAAGTGATCTAAGTCACATTGTAAAAGTGTAAATACATCCTCAATACAGTTAACTTAGACTTAGACTGAATTAGAGACGCATAAGAGTTTAAATTTTTAATGTCACAAGAAAACTTTATTAATAATAATAAATATCACTGAATTAGAAAAATCAACTGTTAAAGAACTGATACGATTTTATTACCTACTCTTTTATGTCACACCTTAATAATAGTTTTTTGAATATGTAACATTCTAAGTACACAAACTTTGACAAAGTCCACTCCTTTCCCATCATCCAGATAACATCTTTCAATTATTGAATAGAGTTGATTAAACAGTACACCAATTCGATCTTTCAATTATACGCAATCCAACTCCCCTATTCTGTATTCACACAATTACTTACAATTACATACTCTAATTGAGTAATAACTTATTTCGCAGTCTTGAGAGTTAGGTTAACTTTTACTAGTTTTAATTTTGACTTTTTTAAACGATAAATTAAAACTCGTATTTGTAAATTGTACTTGTAAGTTGTAGAAAATGACGCCAGAAACATTCTTACCATTAATCGTATTAGCTTTCATGCTGATTCAATAAATATACATTAGATCTAATGCTAAGTATAGTACATAGTGTGGAATTTTAATATTATTAACATTTAACAACAACTTTTTTATCAGTAGACTATACTAACTTAGTCATTAATGATTAATTCAAACATTACAACTTATGCCTGCTCTCCACAACAAACAAATTTTCTCTTCACAGTGCTGCTGCCCTAGCGGGAACTTGATATTAGTCTAGTTTACGTTGCCTGTGTTAGAAAAAAAAGGGAAGTTTACAGCATTCACAATTAGTCATGCATATTCTAATATCTACTACTATTAATGTACGTACAATTCACGTCATGAAACTAGTGCATGATGTGGATTTGTTTATTTAGGTTTTCCAAACGCTTTTGACAAGATGCTACACCGAAAATTAAGCAAGTTACATTTAATTATAGTAACTGCAAGGTAATACACATGATTGTCATAAATTAGTTAATACACGTGGGAATTACTCAGGGGCGTATCTACGGAAAATTGC